TATATATATATATATAGTATATATACTATACTCTTTTGTTATAGTAGTTAAGAAAACAAAACAATTCATTAACATGACTTAACGGTTTAATGAATGATATATATCTGAAACTATTTTTTTTTGCAATATTGCCAAAAATAACTTTGATTTAATTAGAAACAAATAAAGGAAGTAACTGTCTATGTATATAAAGTTTTATTCTCTGATAAAGAGTATAATCAACTTGAAGATATATTGAACCTTGAAATACGAAAACTTGAAATATTGTATGTTATGAAGACGCAAGTTTTTGAATTAAGAAATTTTTCATTAAAAACAATTTAATAAAAATTTATAAATTCAAAAGAAACAAAATAATATTTAATATCAATATAAATAAATAAATACACGATATCAAATTTTAACTCGTTTTTGGTTTTATTTTATATCATTTCCATGTAGTATATAACATTTTAGAAATTTTAAAAATGATTAAATATTATATGGTAAATAATATCAAATACATTATTGAGAGAAAGCCTTCAGAGAAAGGTTATGCGACATAACCCAAAAAAATAAGAGGATCTTCTTCCTCTTGTTTTGACAGTGGCTACAACTACGTTTCACAGCTGTTTACTATTGAAAACGTTCATCAAGTATTACCATTCCAACGAAGGTAAACCAAAGATTTGCTATAGATGACCGTTTATCACATTCATTGAAATTTTACCGTTCCAAGGAGAGAACCATGAGGTTTTCTAGCTTCGTTTATACGATATGAAATAAAGCAATAACAACAGTATGTTATATTGTTCTATCACTATAAAAAGTACTGTTTTTTAACAAATAATACATAAAAGAAAAAAATTACCGTTTTTTTATATTACTATACTATTTTTTGTTCTAATATTAAGAGTGTGATTGACTATGAACACACAAATTCTGAAACCTAATTAGGCCTATTAAAAAATATAATAGTAATTAAGCTTATTTAAAGTCTATTACGACTTAAGCACGACCAATAAAAAGAAAACGACTGGAAGTAACCTAAATTAGGACGGTTTTGAAGGCCATAAAGAAGCATTGCTAAAAACTGAAACAATATAGGAGGAAAAATTCTCTTACATTAGAAGAAGAAGGAAACTATCACAACAGCAAACCCAATGGCTTCCTATTGTGAAACTTTTTTATGCCTCTGTTTCGATTGTTATATTCAGAAAAACTTTTAATTTCGTGGGTTTGACCTTTTAACAAAGATTTGATCGAATATTTTAAGGACTTTTAATTGTTTCGATCTTTTCTGATGCAGCTTGGTAGGTAAAGATTAACTATCATATCTGTTACCACAATAAGTAATTGTGGTAATCGACGGTATTTCTATAATATTTCAAGCTTTTACCAGTTTAGTTCTTTAAGAAAATTTAATTTTGTGGTATTCACACAATTGCAGAAATATATATTTTTTGACTACACAACACGTTTAACAGTTTTATTAAAGAGCAAGTAAAGAATGTAATTTAAAAAGAATGTAATTTTCATTAAAATAAATGATATTAATGCGTACATCACCATTACAGCAATAACAATTACAGCAATGATGAATTTCATAAAGGTAATGCAAGTTAATCACTATATCTTATTGCAGTATCTCAAAAGGGGTTCCGTTTAAAAGTAAACCAAAATAAATCCGCTATTATAAATAAAAGCTCTCAATAAGGCAAACTCAAATGGCAAACTACTTTCGAAGTAGGCATGTATTTATTACAGTATATAGATAAAAAAAAAAGAAAAATTTAGAATGACATAGCAACAAGATGCAGCTCAAAATGTGTGCAACATCAACAACATAGCAACAAGATACAAGATACGTAAAAAAATATTTCACCAAGAAACTTCTTTAGCTTTAGCTTTTGTATAAATGAAGCTGGCGTCGTTCGTAAGCCATGCAATTAAGTAGTCACTAACTGCCTGTCCGATCAATATGGAAGCAACATTTAATGTGAGGCAGAGCAAAAACATATTGTAAAAGTAAAACCCATGAATGAATGAATCAATGAAAACTCCAGCAGAACAGCAGAAGTGGACTTTGATGTTAAGTGAAGACTGATTGAAGAAGAGATGCAACGTGCAGATATACAGCATGCCGAACGACACATATTTCAAACTCCGGGTTTGGTTGAAAGTAAAAAAGAAATTAAAAGTTTATATACTAAAATAAAAATAAATAAATACAATAAAAAATATCAAAAAATCAATTTACTTTTATGCGATTTCAAGAGATTCGATTTTTGCCATTTTTTTCCTCTAAATTTATAAATAGACCGAAGAGATCTGAACTTAATTGTTTTGCATCATATGTGTTGTTGCATTGTTGGAGTGTTGGAGTGTTAAAAGAAGTTGACATTTTTATGGAATTGGATTGATCTTTATGTTAATTACCAAGAGAATAGAATCAAAGAAATGTAAATAGAAAAAATACTAAGTTAAGACTTAGCAAGACTTTAAATTACTATCGTCTTGGCTTGCCGATTAATTTGTACTTTTAATGTTAGCTAGGATGACACAGATTGAAAAAAGAGATTGAAGTCTATCAAATCTTATTGGATGTGCATATAGTTTCATAGTTCTAATATTGCACTTTCAAATTATAACGTCTTCTGATCTGTAACACTCTATTGCTGATATAAAATTGATTTCAAAAGGTTCTTTTTAATACAACTGTTACATTTTTATATGTATATATATATATATAGGGTGGCTGACGAAAATTGCAATAAAGTAAAATGCTCTATTTTGTTTATTTTTGTTATATTTAATGAAAGCTAAATGAAAATATATATATGTGAAAAGAACTTCACACTTCAAATTATTAAGTTAATATATTTTGGTTCAATATGGCCACCTTTAACATGAATTATGTCCTTCAAATGCCCAATAAAGCTACCGCATGCTACTCGGCTTTACGGTATTTTGGCCCATTTCTCGGCTTAGCGGTTGCTTCAGACGATCGACATTTTGATATAAGGTGCCAGCTTTTTTTTTTAAAATACCCCAGACCGAAATTTGGGTGTTTATTTTCACCCCAAACAATATTGAATATTGTGTATTATTAAATTAATATTATTTTAATATTTATTATAAATATAAGTTAATATAATAATAATATTATTATTATTATAATTATTTAAAAACATTACAAATAAATATTACTATTATTATTATTAAATTAAATAATTAAATAATTAAATAATTAATTAAATAAATTTATTATTATAAATATATTATTTTATTTAATATAATTATAAATGAAACACTTGTAGATAAGTTGCAAATACAATAAATAAGAAATAAATTATAGAAAAAAAAAATAAATACCAATTTTTATGCAAAATGTTATCCGAAACACTTGTTAGCTACACTGTAAAAAATATATGAATGAGATTTGATTTTTGTTGTAATGTCAGTCATTATAAATCACAGTCAAGTGTAAAATATTTAAATAATTTATTCAAATAAAACTATTAACTATAAAATAATAAAGGTGTGGCAAATTACATTGGCAATGCATTTTTTGTTGTTGTTGTTGTTGTTGTATTTATAATGACTTTTACAAGTGTGGACAACTGAGCATCTAAAATAATTGCATCAATCCATTTATGTATATAAAAGGAAAATTAGCTAAAAGCAATGAACTCTGGATTTTATAAAAATAAATATTCACATAACATTTTCCCAATTATTAATGCATATGGTAGTCTTAAATAGTCTTAAATAGTCTTGAACTAAGTATATGAAGAGTTAGTTAGTTATATGTAATAATGAGAACCAGTGAGTATCTTATCTTAAAAGCAAATCATTTCATTTTCAAAACTAGAAAGTAAAAGAAATCTTTGAAAACTATCAGGGAATATTTTATTTCATTAATGTTTATAATTTTTATTAGTGTAGTAAATACTTCAGAAACCATAAATTTTTTAGAAGTCTACAGATTACACAATTTTTAACTAATGTAGGCTGGCTACTTAGTCTATATACATCTAATGTACATATATAATCTATTATGTACAAAATCTTTATCTTATAATCTGTATCTGTACTGATAGACGTTTATTAAGAAAGATTAGTGGTACGATAATAATTTGTTTTTCAATATTTTCTTTTTTTATTTAAGGTTAGAAGCGCATAGGTAAATAAAATTTAATGACGTTTAAGATAATATACAATAAATCATAATTTGTAGTCTAGGTTTTTTGAAAACAAACAAATAAATTCTTCGAATGACCATAGAAAAGGTATCTGCGCGTACTGGAGTTAACTACAGTAAAGGTCATAATAAATAATAAATGCTTTAACGAACGATATACAATACGAATTTTATTTTAATCTAATCTTCAAATATTGGTTAATGTGTGAAAGGAAACGTATAGGCCTTTCATTGAAGACATTGAGTTTGCCTCCACTGTTTATTTAGTTTATGCGCCAAAAACAAGAAAAAATTAATTTATAAGAATTTTTCAACAAAGGAAAAATTATTTATTAACCTTGCGCGCTGCAATGTAAGTTTGTTTCAATGTCAAAATGTCAAAATGTTAAACTGAATTAAATATATATTTTTTGTTTGCTATTTAACAGCTGATAAACACTGGCGATAATAGGCCAGTTCGGCTTATAGTACTCGCTGCTTTCTGGCTTTCTGACTCCGCCGCTTTTATTGTATTTAATAGGCACTCTTGGTTATAACAATTACTTTTTTCGGTATTATTGATATGTGATGAGCACATAATGTAAAAAAAATATATATAATTATATTGATGAACATATTTTTATGGATTTCAACGAACGCTTTTGACCTTAGTGCCGTCAGAAAGTAAGGAGCGCCAGTACAAGTAAAAATAGAAATGAAGTGATATATGAATGCATTAAATGAAATACATAAAATTAATTAATTTAATATGCAATATATGCCAACATTTCAATTACAAAGTATTTATTTAAGTACTGTAATTAAATGTTTAACTTACCATTGCTTGCTCGATCTTGTTATCAATCGCGACTGCACTTGTACCAGATGCACTGCAAACAGATAAAAAGAGAATTTTAAAAAATATGTAATTAAAAAAAGTTCCTATTAAATCTATAGGGTATATAACAAATATTTAATTTGATATTTTTAAGTATATTTTTTATATGTTATAAGCGATATTTGCTCCTCATAAATCACACACACACACACACACACACACCTTCATTTAATAATAACTATTGTATTTTTTTGGGCATTGAAGTGTTTCTCTGCCTGATTTATAATATTATATATTTCAATGAAAGATAAAAAAAAAATTAATAAATAAATTCAAAAAAATTGATTTTTTTTTTTTTGCGATTTTTTGAAATTGAAAAATTTATAAAATATATAAAATTGAGGTCAAATTTTAAATCCCATCATTTCCTGCAATTTGGTGGCTTAAGATGCCATAAAAAATGTAATTATACTTGTTATGGGCTTTACGAGTATGACGGCTGGCAACTCTTTTCGTCCGTAAAATTTTAATTATAGTCAATTTTACTTGTTTCCGCTCAAAATATAACAAAATTTTGGTTTGATTTTGTCTTTTTCATATTCGGATTTAATAAATAAAATGTAGCAAAAACTCTAAACAGTTTTAGAAGAGTCGTTCTATAACTATCTAATAATGTATGTAACTATTATCATATAGAATGTATCAAATAATTATTTGATTTGTAACTTTTGTGAGAGAACTATTACAAAGATTAGTCATTTCTACAGTATAGATAAACCATTTCACTGTTGTGTAAATATTACATTTATAAATATGTACCATAAAATACAACTCTGCCTTTTGAGTAATATGGCGTTTACACTGGCTGAAAATGGCTCATTCTGAATGAGTCATTTGAAAGTGTTTACATTCGTTGTATTTAATTTTTTCTCATTTCAAACAGCTGATTGCATGTTGACAGCTGATTGCATGTTGACAGCTGATTGCATCAACTTGCATGTTGATTTAATTTTTGGCCTGTGCCAAAAAAAATGTTACAGGAAGGTTAAATATACCTTCAAACCTTACAATATAAACTGAAAACTTGTTTCTAGATTCCATTTATTTATTTTTGGGTAGTAGAAGTTCCAAAAATTGGTGCATCGTTTTAAAGAAAATGCAACCACCAAACATTTGTTTACCTTTTTTTGTAAATATGTCAAAACAGCTTTTTCAAACTGTCAAAATGCCATGAAGAGCTTTCATTTAGGGTATGTTCAATGGATTCCCTTGCATTTGGAACATATGTGGAATGCAGAACGTCTTTCATACAGATGTGAGAAAATTGCTCATTTTCGCTTGAAATTTTATATGCAAGAATGAGCCATTCGCTACTCATTTTCGATTTTTGACCAAAATGAGCCATTTTCGGCCAATGTAAACGCCATATAACTCTCTCATTAATGCAATATCGAACTTCAGTTCAATAAAGAATGTCAAACTCATAACAGTTACTATATATAGGTATATATTTTTATTGATAACATCTATTGATATATATTCATTATAATTATAATTAACAGTTTTGCGATTCGAGTTTACATTCGATTCGAAATAAAATGATAGTCCGTAATTTCATAGATATTAATTGGCATGAATATTGAAAGTTAACTACTTAAACAAGAATCAGTTATTTATTGTTTATATTTTTTAAAATGAATAATGAAATAAATAATGAGGAATATTAATCTGCTAAAAACAATAAACAAGAGTAAAAATTGAATCCAAGCTAAAAATAATTTGTTAAGTGTTATTTTGCCACTTCTTTTACTTTTTTTTGTTTGGAATAAATATGTAAAAAACGCTTTCGGCTGTCTTGAAAAACCGTTAAAAATGTGGCATTAAATAACTTTTCATCGGTGTTTTTTATTTATTTACAAGCCCAGATATCAAAAAATCTCCATTTTAAATAAAAATGAGCGTAAAAAATGCTTCGAAACGAGTTAGAGGCGGTACTATGGCAATTTAGATATATGATTTAATATTAAAAAATATTGTGTTCATTAGATACGATATATAATACATATTTAATCATATTTTTTGAATACATTTTGCTATTTTTGGCATTTGTTCCATGCCAAGTTCGCTGCTATTTGCAGATACTTTTCATATACCCGAGATACTCGTATGCGAGTGAGTATCTGCAATATTTCAGCTCTTTCCTTCGCAACATACAAAATCGAGGCATAGGTTCGTATTGTCTAGCTTCTTTTTATGCATACATTTTTGTTTACAAAAAAAAAACTGTGTCATGACATCATTTCATAAAATTTTAAAAGAAAAGATAGAAAAGATACAAAAAAAAAGTCCTTCAAAAATATTGTAACAAATTGAAATTCTGTTAGCAGGCAACCTTTTTAAATAGTTACTTTTCGCTTCGCAGCTACTACAGCATAGATTATATGTTGCCAACATTTTGTTTTACTAACGATTTAAATTTTTTCTCATTGTTGTTGTTGTTGTTGTTGTTGCTGTTGTTGGTGGTACTTGAATGGATTTGTGTGAATTTGCATTGTTATATATGGTTGAAGTAAGCAACCGCAATTGACATTTGAATTCTTTTTCGTAACTTTTAAGAAATAATTTCTGTCAATAATACTCGTAGTTACTTGTGTTGATTGCTGCTATTAAGTCGGTCCAAGGTGGTATTTGATTAAAGCGTTAAGAACTCTTGACTTGTTTGGTTTATCTTGCATAAAAAAACATTTAACATATTTAAGATGAAAATTCATGCTCTCAATAGCTCAACAGCTTATTGCCAAACCTTACAGAATTTTTAAAGTGAATGGAACCTTTCAAATGTTAATGACAGCGATTGTTATTCGGTTTGGTGTTGAAGATGAATAGCTCTATGGCTCTTTTTTGGAACAACATTTAATAACACTTTATTACTATCTATAAATCATTTTTAATTTCATTAAATAATGAAAATTGTAGCACTGCCTTAGCCGCCAAGGCTGTAATATCTTTTGTATGTCTAATAATGTTAAACATCAATTCAACAAGTATAAACATTTACATATTTTATTATTTTTCAGATTCGACAGTACTACATCATGGGGTTAAGTTTTTTTAAAAAAGTCTGTATAATATATTATTTTTTGGCTTTGTTAGCCAATAAATAAATTATCAACAATTCCACTCCAAAATACTAGAGCATAACTATTCTTGACAGAAACTTAAACTTTAAAAAAAAATATTGAAAATTACTCAAAAAATAATAATAATAATTAATAGAATCAAGAAACTGTCAGAGACTTCGTAGTCCTTCTGTCCGTCATTTAATCTACGGTTGAATATAGAGCGCATGGTGTGGCTCAACAGTTATGACAACTGTCAAGCGAATTGATACACAGCTAGACCTTACAATGTGCACATCCTCAGAGAATGCAATATCAACCCGTGACGTTATTACTTAAGGTGTCAGGCGCCAGAACTAAGAACTAGAGAAGTCAATACAAACTTCCCACTGCATGCTTAATTAGCCTAATCGCCACCTTTAACACTAACATCTCGAAAACTCCTTATGTTTCTAGTGAAAATTCGAAAACGTGGGAAAAGCTAAACGAAACTCATATACCTGATTTCAACACTGATCATTTTAGAGAACACACTGAAGACTAAAACGCATGAAAGTGTTTATCTACATAGTTTTATAGAGGACAAATTAGTGATATCCAAGCCCTCATAAATATGTTGTGATTAATCAAACATAGATACTATAAGGATGGCTTCTACTTTGAAAAATTCTCTTTCGCGTCTTGTGATTTAAAGAATAAAATGTATCATTATTTGTTATATCGAATATACTATACTGTTAGTCTGTTAATAAGCAATGTAATATTTTCCACTATATATACTTTTAATAAACTTAAAAATTTACGCATACAATACATAATAGAGTAATGTGTCTGCTGCTATGTCTGACATGCTCCCAATAGAATAATAAATTTAATCTATATATGCCGCGTTCTTGTTATAAAATTATTACATAGAATAATTGTAAAATTATTTTGTGAAAAAAGCAAAAAAGTAAAATTCGTTATGCGGAAAAATAAAAAAAATATTTGAAATAGAAAACAAAATAAACCAATTATTGTACTTAATATTTTATGGTTGAAATACGATAAAAAAATTAAGCAGTATAAATTAAGCCTTAATTAATAGAAAAAACAAATAAAAAAATAAAAAAAATAAATAAAATGAAAACCTTTCGCATTTCTTTATGAGAGTAGAGCTTAGGCGTGTTAAATAACTCATAATTAATTTTATATGTAATTTTATGTAAGTTTTTAATCATTATTTAATAATAAAAATGTTATATTACAAAACTGCACGAAATGATGTAAACCTAAAACTAAAAATAAAAAGATTTTTAGCCGGTTAATTTACTGCATGAGTGACGTTTCGGATAATCGTAATCGTAAATCCAAAAAAAAAAAACCATGGCAAAGAAAAACGAAACACAAACTTTTACCAGAGATAGGAAGAAATATAAACCAATTCGATTTCTTAGACACCTTTAAAAAATTAAAAACAGAAGATCTAAAGATCTACAGTGTTCGAGCAATACGATGGTCGACCCGTTCGAGTATATGAACTTATCGTATTCGTATATTTTGATCAGGCACTTTAAATGCTCTAATAGATCTAATTAATTTTATTTTTAATTTCTTATATTATTTTTAACAAAAAACATACAACAAACAGACAAAAATTCACTCTCAATTTGCGGGTCGCAGGGTCACTATACCTACCAAATGTTTTCTTCATAAAAAACTAGCTATGACAAAGGGCACAGGCATTTTAAAAACATGCAGAATAGAATGTTGTCACGGAACAAATTTTTGTTACTAACATCTATATATATAGACTGTACTATACAGATTTAATGCCAAAAATATTGACAAACGTCTTTCAAGCGAATGGGTTTGATGAAACCGTAATGTATGATACCATTCTGAAAAATGCAAATGACGCAGAAGATTATTATCGCGACTGCAAAAATCTATA